TGACGGTGTAGCATAATACCTTGAAACATCTCTGATGCAACCTTACAGCTGGAAACAGATATCTGCATGAACATGAATAATGTTGTCATATGTTTTAGTGTTGACGTCGTCGAAACTCAACATTGTGTACAAACCAACTTGAGGGGCTGCTGTATAACGCCACTGGGGCACCATAACACGCGGCACATGCGGATTAGTGGAGACACATCGAGGTTCTGTCAATAGCCACGTTCAGCAAATCCTGGTACAGCGAAGACACGGACCTCTTCCCTTTGTGGTGCCTCAAACAATCGTATCTTCTTGTCGGCCTGTCGCTTGAAACATAACCAGATCTTTCCTGGTGGGATCTGAACTGGTAGTTGTTATCCCCTGTCTGTCAATAGGTAAAGGAGGACTGGATGCCCAGGCACCCACTACTCGACCACTGCATGTGGTGAATCGTCGTTTAAGCTCCTGAACGCCGCTTTTTCAGGTCCAGAATACATTATTTACAACCACCATGGCATTTTGCTGAGAGTGGCGTTAAACGACATCCCGTCTCATTCTGTTTGTATGTGAGCTCAGTGGATCTGCGCATATCTTTCCCACCATTCGTCTTGCGCAGCTTAATACAGAATGTTCTTTTCTATTAACAACCTCGTCGTCAAAGTTTGAAAAACTCCAGGCTACTTCTAGACCTACTCCGCAAAATGGCAATTGACAACCAATTTAAAGACAAATATCGGCTTCGTTTTTGTTGCGGGAAGAATGGTAAAAAATACTTTCGTTTGAACGCTGTTACTTTTTATAGCAAATACCCCGAAGGTTTCTTTAGTGTATTTCGCATTTCTTACCATAGTAGAATCCAATTCTGATATACATAGTTGCTTCATGTGTTTCAAGCCGTCGTAGGGCACGGAACGGTATGGAGCTTTGAGTATCTTTGTCTACGGATCATATAGTTAGAATTAGTTTCGTCTTTCAAAAATATTTCGGCTGACATTTCGGTATTTTGGAGAAGAAAATTAATGTGCATGAGATTGTAAAACATTTATTCTCTTGTCGTGAGTCAACCGTGGCTTGAATACTTAGGATTCCGATGTGATGCTGCCCTTTGCTGAAACCCCGTACAGCGAATTGTAACGCTACAAATGTCAGAGCTACATCCACCACTACATCGGAATGTATAGGTGCTATATTGTATGTAACACGAATGTATAGGTGCCATATTGTATGTAACACGAATGTATAGGTGCCATATTGTATGTAACACGAATGTATAGGTGCTATATTGTATGTAACACGAATGTATAGGTGCTATATTGTATGTAACACGAATGTATAGGTGCTATATTGTGTAACACGAATGTAACACGAATGTATAGGTGCTATATTGTATGTAACACGAATGTATAGGTGCTATATTGTATGTAACACGAATGTATAGGTGCTATATTGTATGTAACACGAATGTATAGGTGCTATATTGCATGTAACACATATGCAAAATTATACAGACGCATCATGTGAATATAGACAGACAGACAGACATACAGACAGACAGACAGATATAGTTTATTAAGGTGTCACGTGAACGATTACATGAAATAAAATACACAATATACATAGTAAAATATCGTTCACCCAGCCAATAAGGCTTATGAGACACCATACACAATTTAATAACTATGTACATTTCGTTTTAGAGAAGAGGTAGTTTAAATGAATAACATTTTTACAGGAATAGGAGTCGTCTTCTAAACATGTTATTCACAGTGGTTGATAAAATTAGCGGATCTGACGACATTAAAATACTTAATAAATGCACATTGTTATCATAACTAAAATCTCCATTTATAAGATGATATCTAAGATCCTGATAAAAATAACAGTGCAAAAGAAAATGTATCTCGTCTTCCACACAATTACAATATATACGGATATGAAATGTTTAGGCGTCTCCGAGACACAAACCTCAATGAGGCTTTTCTTGAACATATTTAGTTGATAAATATATTAATTGACCTAATTGATCCCGTTAATTGTAGAAAACATCGCACATGATATCAGTCACTGATATGTGTGGTGCGATAACCTCTGTGTTATTTTAGGTTGCATGTCACCAATGCTGTACACAAAACACAGATAGAAACAAGGTACAGCGTTAAGAAATAGATACTTCTGCTGTAGTTGTTAAATGGATTGCAGAAGTATAGATTACAAAAGACGGCAAACTGTTAATACTAAGTGATCAACAGTTTAGCGTTACAGTGTCTGGCAACGGTAACTATATAATTCCGAAATAAGAGAAGCAAATCTACTGTGGTATTACTGTCAACATAAAAACTTTATGTAAAAAACTTCTATATATAAATCAGCCAGGCATCTCAGGCATCTGAAACGCGTAACACATTAACTGTTAATAGTCTCATAATCATCTCACATAGTAATACGCTTGTCAAGTCTGGCCATGGTGCCACGATTCTGTTTGCATGGTCATAAAGAAGGTGACCCTTCAAATGGAAATAAACAAACATAAAACATGTCCGTGCAGGGTAGATCAAGACTTTCAAAGCCCTATGGGGTACATCTTGGAACACTCCACACTCCATTTCAATCTTCCCTTAAAGCAGAGGGGTTGTATGTTTGGAAATGACACCACATGATCACGATACAGGTGGTGTGTATCAATGAATGAATGGGTGAGTGAGTGAGTGGCTTAATGCTTGCCTTTCCTATATGCCATCAATATTACGTCGAGCACAGTTATTCCACCAGAAGTCTTTACACATTGATCCCTTGTGGGGGTCGAACACGGCCATAATCGTCACTATCATTTGTTTAACTACCCCGGTGTCCAGTACAAATTACAGGATAAAAAAGCGGAGGCTTGACAATTGGATTTATAAAATAAGTACAAACGTTATCGAAACCTAAAGAGACTGACAATGGTCGCGCAAACGCTGGAAACTTTATGTCCAACACACAACCATGATACAATTGACGTTCAATCATTTTGTGTCCGACAATGTATATCATTCCTGGGTGTGGTGGATGCTGTAGAGTAGTGTCTGGAAGCGGAAGATATATGACTGCTTGCAAGCATCATAAATTCATTGATTGGAATAATCTGAAACCGAAACTTGACCAAACGACTTTACCGTGACAGTAGGCCGGCTGATAGTATCAAGTGTATGGCACCGAGAGCCCAACATGGTTGAGCGCCGGTTGTGACAGTGTAACTGTCTATAGGTTCATTGATAGATCTGATAAGCTGGCACATGTATCAGCGGATACAGCGGGTGCCTGTGATTACTACGCCATTATTCTCCGGTGTCAGAGGAGTGATCCAAGATCCAGCACGGAATTACTACCGCCGTCTGATTGAACTACGCCTTGACGCTGGTGTAGTCATCAAGGTGACATACAGCGAATGCTCGTTAGCGCAAAGTACTTGCAAACATCCCGAATATTATGAATTAACCGGAGTTCGAGACCAACAGGAATCATTTTCGAGGCAAGCGTGTTTCTGTTTCGAGACAAACTATCCCAGTTGGAGATCAGCGGTGTCCAGTTCGAGATCCATGGGTTTCCAGTTCGATACCTATGGGTGTCGAGTTTAAGACCCATGGCTTCCATTTCGATACCAATAGGTGTCCAATTCGAGACAAGTGCTTGTCCAGTTTGCGACCAGTGGCTTTCCAGTTCGAGAACAATGTATGTCCAGTTCGAGTGGGTGACCAGCGAAATATATACTTCGAAGAGAAACATATTTTCTCATGAACGTCGAGTGAGAGATACAAGTGGCCCAGTAGTACAGGCTGCGGTTGCCGAGTTCTATGCCTTAACCGTACTAGTGTTCGCTGATGACCGTTTCAAATCCCAGATTTGCGGCCCTTATGATTCCTGATATCTCTATATCCAACCCGAGAACAAGTGCCTCGCCAACCTGCTTACATCCACGACCTCCATCACGGTAGGTTTTCTTGAAAGACTCGGTGAATGCTATTCAAAATGCCAGTAAACTCACTCGCCCACACATTCACTCAAATCATTTCCCGTAGCTAACGTTCGCTTGCTTAGGGTAAATGAGCGTTAGTAAGGACGCGGGATTAACATTGATTTGAGGCAATGTTGTCTTGACTCTTCATTTTCAAATTTGGTACTGTCACACCAAAGTACCATAGTCAATGGCAAAGGAGGGATTCGAACCGATGACCATCAGATCCTGGTTCACCTTAGCACAACGCCTCAGGTCTCGATTACAAATATGCGTACGTCTTTTCCGGAATAGCATTCTGGTCTGGTTTAATCCAGATCTATATCCAGAGAGAAATATCTAATTAGACCTCACATATTAGCAATCACTATGATTTGCCTCTGCCATCATAAATCGACCGGTATTCATCCACATACACGCATATGTTTTATGACGTAGCTCACATGTGGTGACCTTATGAAAAGCGTAATTAGAGAGCTACAAGTCACATCTCATTAGAAGGAGCATTAACTAATTCCTGCTGACCACGCCACTGGTCACCTCGCACACAAATACTGACACGTGGTGATGAAATGATTGAACGCTGTCGATAACGTCTTGGGGGTTAATCACTATTACCGTCATAGCTCGTCGCGCACTTGCTGCAAGTAGATACGACCAGTTTAAGGATCTGGACATGTATTTCATTACAATTAGTCCGTATGCCAAGTGGACGAGCGCTTTTAGTAACACCATCGCAAAGACACCTTGAATAGGTTTCGTGTCAAGAGCCAAATGCTCTGTGAGCGACGAGTTCCCCCTGTAACGTACAACACTGGCTACAACAGCTGGGAACTGTAGTATCCATATTCTAACATTAACTATCCGCTAAATCTTTTCGATTACGTGTAATGGTTGCACATCGATTGCGTTAGGCCACACTAGCAGATAGACCGCTTTTGTAGTCACTTAGAAAATCGGCCCTCAGAAAATAAATCTCCTATCGAAATGTTTTATCGATTGGTTTAGCCTGTCTCGTCACGGTGGCTTCTCCAGCCAATCTGCGCCTGTGTGAGGAGTTGCCACTGGATGTAACGATCTCGCGAAGTCTCTATAAATGCAGGCTGTTTTATCGGAGTCTAGCGACTAGATATGCTGGATTAATACAGATCTCCGCTTCATATACGTACAGTGGAGAATGTCAGGGCAGTTCAGCTATGGATTTAGGCTCGAGATACTGTGACAGAGTTTTCGAGAGGAGGTATTTTAGTCTCTACCTGTGATAGACAGAGGATTTGCTATGGAAAACTTACACTTGTGACTGAGCAAGTTCTGACGGAATTAGTTCTTTTTCAGATTTTTTACTTGCAATTCCTACTAGGACAATAATATGAAATGGAATTTCACGTGTGGATTCTCGTTTTCATCTCATACTTGGAATTAACGAGAGGTGAGTGCTGATTAAATACGTTTAAACTCAACAATACGAAAGTATTATTATCTTGAGAAGTGAAAATCCTACGACATATTTTTACTGCGTTTAACCTTTCGACATTTTGTTTCCGAAGGCTATCAACGCTGCAATCCAATTGTAACAGATACCGTGAGGGTGAATTGTAGCTATCAATTATTCATTAGAAGGAAATAGCGCTTATAAAGAAGCGCATAAAAAAATAGAAAAATGAAAATTGCAGTTATTGTTGTTGTAATGGGATGTGTCACATCCCGTATTTCACTGTGTACGGGCTACCTTGATCGGATGTTACATTCAACAATACATGCTTCACACTTCAGTTTGACTATACGCTAGCTGCATGTCGGGTCGAACTTAAATCACGTTTATACTCTAACTTAATTAGATATATATAATTCACATTCTAGACAACGCCCGTTACCAGTACGGATGCAGTTAGGATACATGTTTAATGTTCCATTAGACTCTATAACCAAACTTCTGCGGCAAATGCTTTCTGTTTCTGATAAATCTTCTAGGTAACATGTTGAAACTGATAAAATATACCATGAAGCCAAGCCAGCTGAGCTTGTCATGATAGTAAATTGTTTTTACGTTTTTATTGACATGTACAACATATTTTTCCAAAGACTGTTTCAATTTGAAACGAGAACTCAATGCATACTTCTAAGTACCTATTATCAACATAAGTAGGTTACGATATGCCCTGTACAGGAATGCTAGTGAAGCTACAAAAACAGGCTTACTACTACTACTACTACTACTACTACTACTACTACTACTACTACTACTACTACTACTACTACTACTACTACTACTACTGCTGCTGCTGCTACTACTACTACTATTTACTACTACTGCAGCTTACTTCTCGTTCGTTGTATTTCATACATATCTGGTTTAAATTCATTTACATTTAGCACCAACTATGAATCATTTATCAGTACCGTACGTAAGCATGCCGATCTTTAGTGAAGAGGTTTTACTGCCCTCATATCTATAAATTAGTAGACACATGATTGCAAGTATGGCATGTATTATTACTTAACAACCTCCACCAGAATGCAAGCCTTTGAGCTTTGTCAATGATTCCTAATGCTGTGCATTGGCAATGCCATTGTTGGGCAATATATCATTATCTTGTTGTAGATAGCGAATCGATACTTGTATTATAGCAAGCGTTTTTATGCGTTGAATGCACTTACATGCATAAAGACGATATAATGATTTGAGACATCAGGCTAACTGCAGGTCCCCACGCTATAATCAGACTTGAGCATTTGAGTCGTGGTATATTAGACTTGCATTATTTGCTCGTTCTAAGCCATGACATTCAAGGCCTTAAATTTTAACTGTAACAGTTCAGACACTGGTTGCCTGTCGGACAATAGCGGTGCCGTCATTTGCACATGATATGATGAATGATTGATGATGTTTTTATGAAATATAGAGGATATATATGCGTACAATCGATATAACCGCGTGAGCATGATTGAATTTAGCTACATTGTTGAAAAAAATGTTGTGACTTTATGCCAATCATGTTTTCATGTGACACAGTATTAAATGTCTCCGTTGTCTACTGTGGTCACAGTCGTAGCGGCAATCCGTTTCCAACATGGATACAATGTCCAATCGTTGTCGGGTGTTCCCAGTTGTTCTGAGCAAGAATATCTCTCTGAGTGGTGTAAAATCCGACTCACTGATATCAAACTTAAGCAATATGACTAACGCATAGTATATGCTTCACGATGCCTCGGATGGCCTAAATACATGCATAACATCATGACGTCCACGTGACCGCGGCCCACCTGACAGCTTCTGGTTGGGTAGAAACTGATTTTTTTGCTGCACCCGGAGGCTTACGGTCCCAAACCTCAAGTTTGTTTAGTAGTCGTGATAAAACCGAGAGGTCAGGTTCGATTCTCAAAATGGCGACGTTGTAAAGCACATTCCGAGTTCCCCACTATGATGTTGCGATTAAATTGCTAGGCTAGGTTATCATACTCACACATTCACTCGCCCAATCAATCAATCACACAGAAACGGAATTACGTGATTTCTGTGACAGTTCATACAACGTTCCTACGTTCCACTGAGTTGACTATGTCAGGTTGTGGGTAATGGCCCTTAACGCTACTGCGACTAGTATTCCAGTTATAGCACGGCGTTTCAGGGTAACGTGAGAAGAAAGCCCGGAGTATTATGCCCAGGTTCGATACTGTGTCTGGATATGTCACAATCAGTTCTTGTGACTTCCGTCATGGTGTGTCTGAAATATCTCTGTTTCTTCTGAAAGGCAGCTAAAAACAAACCTTTGATACATGACCTATCTCCATGTCACGATGCCCTTCTCGACGTAAAACAAAATTCACTCACAAGAGACGCAGCTGAGTGAGTAAATATCGAAAACGGACCCTGCCCCTGTAAGTCTACCCCTATCTCCATCCCACCTTGGTGACATTCACCCGTATCTGTCGATGTGTCTGTATCAACAGCAAACCAGAACCACCCCTCTCTCCATCCCCACCTTGGTGGTATTCATCCGTATCTGTCTATGTCCTCCATCCCACCTTGGTGATATTCATCCGTATCTGTCTATGTCCTCCATCCCACCTTGGTGATATTCATCCGTATCTGTCTATGTCCTCCATCCCACCTTGGTGATATTCATCCGTATCTGTCGATGAGTCTGTATCAACAGCAAACCAGAACCACCCCTCTCTCCATCCCACCTTGGTGGTATTCATCCGTATCTGTCTATGTCCTCCATCCCACCTTGGTGATATTCATCCGTATCTGTCTATGTCCTCCATCCCACCTTGGTGATATTCATCCGTATCTGTCTATGTCCTCCATCCCACCTTGGTGATATTCATCCGTATCTGTCTATGTCCTCCATCCCACCTCCCACCTTGGTGATATTCATCCGTATCTGTCTATGTCCCAGCAAACCAGAACCACCTTGGTGATATTCATCCGTATCTGTCTATGTCCTCCATCCCACCTTGGTGGTATTCATCCGTATCTGTCTATGTCCTCCATCCCACCTTGGTGATATTCACCCGTCCTCCATCCCACCTTGGTGATATTCATCCGTATCTGTCTATGTCCTCCATCCCACCTTGGTGATATTCATCCGTATCTGTCTATGTCCTCCATCCCACCTTGGTGATATTCATCCGTATCTGTCTATGTCCTCCATTCCACCTTGGTGATATTCATCCGTATCTGTCGATGTGTCTGTATCAACAGCAAACCAGAACAACAGGCGCCACTATGCACGGTACGACTGCCAGAATGATAGAACAAAATGCCGACATGGATACCGTGGGGAGGCCCAAGTACAATACTTCTCCAGGCCAGTGAATAGCGACTAAAATGGGAATCGATTAACAAAGTAGCTAAACGTGGAAAGTACCTTAACTGGTTCCCTGGGGAGGACCAAATCAAAGCTCAAGCATGGCTGCGTCAGTATGTCCTTAACTGTGTTGGTTGGATTAAGCACGTTGCGGTCAGCACCCGGTGTCACAATCATTGTGATGGCCTCTCACACCATTAACGTTAAGTTCCCATTCGATTTCGTTACATGACAGATTCTGAACTGTTTCTGTACCTCTCTGTTTACAGAAGAATTGATGTATTTATCAGCCGTGTACTGTGGGACACTATATAGGATATTTAGCTACTCAAACATGAAGACTTATTAACACAAATGAAACATGAATATTTGACATGTGACGCGTTGATACGACGGCTGCTATCGACTCGCATCCTATCAACAATGCATGCTGTTGCAACATATATTTGTTTGGTCGTGTTTGAGCGCATGGAGTTGTTTCTCAACGTGTAAAAACCGCTACTAAATAGATCCGTCATACCACATAAGCAAAGACGAATTCATCTCGTAAATATCTTTTCATTACCAGTATTGATCAGTATCAATACTCGCTTCTCGGATAAAGGAGTACCAGAAAGTTGCTATTATCATATCAAATAGCACCATTTCCGTATTGAGCGTTTGCTCCTCGGCCGTCACAAAACAGGTTATGGCTTTGACGGTATGTGTTTTGTATCAAAACAACAGCTGCAAAGAAACTGCTGCGGAAACCAATACTGCCAGCCACCGTTGATTATACGAGTGAGTGAGTTTGTAAGGTTTCAATTTACCTTTGCCGGTGAATGGGTACGCAGAATAGGGTTGCACACGTTGTACCCTTGTGAAGAGGACCTTGGGTCGTGATGAACCAACACTTCATCAACTGGGCTACCCGATTGAGTAATGAAGAGCCTTAATTCACCAGGAACCTATGTTTGGTCATGCTTAGGTTCCGCTTTCAAATTCTCTTCTGATATGATCCTTGATTTTTCCTGAAATTCACTCATACCATTGGTTCCATAATGTGCGCCACTGCTCTAAATGAGTGCTTGACGGCATTCAATTTAAGTTCTCAGACTTACAAAATGCCAATCATTCTCACATCAAAACGCACACTCTTACTCACACTCTTGGACAATGGCACTGATATTCAAACACACAATCGCACACGCACGCTTACATTCACACTCACACCTACACACACACCTACACACTCGGGCAATTCCATATATATCCACACAGTCATTCACTCACACTCACACAATCGCACGCTCACATTCAAACTCCTACTTACAATCTCCTTTTCATTGACACTCTCGCTCATATCTATCTCACTTAGGCTTACTGGCTAGCTCACTGCTTCAATTCACACACACACACACACACACACGCGCGCGCGCGCGCGCGCTTATTCATACGATGACACAGTAACATATGTCATATTTGGGATTACACTTTCTTAGTAAAGTACAGATTCTAGTACTTTTGTTGGGTTGAGTCCCAACCGGGACACAAAGTCAGACGCCAAGACCGCTCAGCCACCGCGGCTTCCACAAAAATGGAAGTCGGACAACTGGTAGTCAAGACTGCGGACTTT